CAGGAGTGACATCAGCAGCAGTGCCATCACCATTGATTAAAGGCTTTCTCTGTTGATTCTGAGGTGCCTACAACTTATGCACAATTTGATAACATCATGTGTGTCCTGAAGTTGTCAAGGAAAACCTTTAATCATGCCCATTGCATACATGAAGTTATGTAACAGGATTTCAGACCTAAAAATGTAAGTTTCATTTTACTCCCTGAGGATGACCCTAAAAGTAGTAAACTGCTGAAACATGTCAGGATGCATAAAACTGGAACTGCAGGATAGTTCAGTGGTTTAGGCATCTGGTTGGGAGTCTGGTTCCCAGTACGCCTCATTGACAAGAGTTGGACTAGATGATCCATAGGGTAGCTTCCAGCTCTGCAATTATTAGTATTATTATAATATTTTAAAAGAAAATATATCTCTGGATTTCTCAGTTTTTTCTCTCTCATTTCACTTTAGTGAATGCCTGCCAGTTCTGGTTTATTACTTTGTAGTTTAGAAACTTGATTATAGATTTCTGAGTAAAATACTTGACAGCTATAAAGAAGGTGTTTGTGTGAATATGAGAAAGCAAACTAAGTACTTCTTTATGGCCAATTTCCTGAAACCACATATTGCAGAGCAGTTTATTGGAGACCAGAGAATGGAAAGCAAATGGCTCTGAGCTGTAGACCTTTAAAACCTGCAAGACTGCATTGACAGGCAAAGTTGATTGCTAGCATGAATCCACCCTGCTGAGTAAACAAAAGTAACTAAGTACCTTTAACACCAGCTTACCAGCAATATTCCTTTGTTGCTGTCATGTATTTTAGCATTTGGACGCCCCTCATATAGTGTCATCATCTGGGCAGATGCCGGGGATGACATTTGCTCAAAGTCCCTGTGTGTATGTGTGTAGGGAACATTCTGGGTAATTTAAATGGTGGCGATATAGCATTCATTAAGCAAATGAGGACAACCAGATAAGGCTGTGAAGAAGTCTCCACTGAGGAGTCACCAGAAGGCCCAGGTGGCAGCAGGTGTTCATTGTGCATGTGGGTCCACAGACTGGTCAGTTAATGGTAAGAGAAGTCAAGAGTGACAAACAGGCAGGCAGGCATTCTGTCATGCGGAGTAGGTACTCACATTCACAATCAAATTCTCTCTCATGCACAAAAACTGCTTAAGGGTATTATGCGGAGAAGCCTGTCCTGATGTTCTTAGACTC